ATTACTTAATTAAATAATTAATTATTTAAAGTTATATTATTATAAAAAATATTTTAATATTTAATAATCATATTTCAAAACAATTACTTATTATAAAAGTACTTAATTAAATATATTATTATTAAAAATTAAATAAATTAATAATTTAATATATAATATATGAAATTTGATTTACGAATTTATTAAATTATTTAAAAATTTTATTAATTTTGAATAAAATGACTTTTACAAAACTTCTCGAGAAAGTAAGAACAAATAATTTACCAAATACATAAATTACAAAAAAAAATTTCTGTAAAAACTCTGTAAGCAACATTGCCAAAGTAAACAAAACGCAACGACCACGTTTGGAGATTCAATCCAAGTAATATCAAAATAGAGATACTAATTCATTCAAAAATACGAAATTAAAAGAGCGTACTCAAACATTTAAATATAACAACATCAACTACATTTTTCAGATACCATAAAGTACTTTCTGATATCAAAATCACCAAATTGACAAATATATCTCCGTTTAACTAACTATTAGTTTCCAGATTAAGCATCTAGCTGCAGGTATTGTGCAGCTGTCCGTCCTAAAATGATCTCCAATTGAATATAACCACAGATGGACTTCCAGTGTTGCAACATCCCTAGAAGACAGCAAAGTCTGTGATTTTTCATTAATATGAGATAAACGAATTTCATTGTAATATAAATTAAGTCAAACTGCTCATGGAAACATGAATCACCTGTCAAAAACAGGGGAAGATCAATCCACTTTCTATTCACACTTGATAGAGTGGTAAATGTGACGAACAAAGAACAGAGCAGCACGAAAACCGACTGCCCCAAGCATGAGGAAGAAACCATAGCAAATGCAAGCCATGTAGCCAAAGAAGAAGGAGGTTTGCATAAAACCAGACATATCTGACCGTGCATAGTAATAATACAGGCAGTAGGCATATATGAACAATCCAGTTGAGCCACCACAAAGGAACGACCTATCAATTGCCCAAATTGTAGACGTCAGAACTCATTAGTCAAAACCTTTAAATATGAACTACAAATGGCATGACCAGATGCCCTGAGTGTCATTCAAATGCAACTTGCAAATGAATCAAAAACATAATCCCATGAGCTCCAAGTTTATGATCTGTAGAACAATGTCATGAAATTGTGGGTTTCTTATTCTGCTGGTGAGATCTTAATACAAACAACCTTGCAAACAAACAGTTAACAAAATGGGTGTATATGATTTTTTATGCAGATATAAGAAAGCTATAACCAGACATACCTCCACCACCACTCATGGTCTTCAGCAGCTAGTTGAAAATAAGTCAGAGCTACAGTGATAAAAGCTGTGACAATCAAGAGGATGATGAACACTATAAACAGGATGCTGTATATGGTATAGATCTTGTGACCCCAGACACTAGCAAATATGTAGTACAGTTCAATATAGATGGCACTAAAAGGCAGAAACCCTGCCATGGCCATTTGCGGGAGAGTTTTCCTGTACCAAGGCAATGGTGGGATTTCTCTAGGGTACTTAGTGGTGCGGCAAGGGGCCTGAAATTCAGCCTTGCTATTCTTCCCTGCTATTCCACCCAGTACCAACAAAGGAGATGTTACAAGAGCCCATATAAGAAAAATCACCACAATTGTTCCAAATGGCAAGGCTGCAGTGGCCTTGTAAACAATTGCAACAGTATTAAGAAAGCAGAATGTGAGGAAAAGGGGTCCACAGAACAGGCTTCCAGTCAACAATAAGTTTCTCACCTGTCATGACAGAGAAGAATCAAAACATGAAAAACATTCTGTTGATAACCTAAAAATAAAAAAACTTCTTCACACTTCTCAAAATTTGTTTTGTCAAACAAAGAAGAAAGGCTATTGGACATACCACACATTTATCAAAAAGAATATTAGCCACTAAGTAATTTATACTCAGGAAGATTGCTAGTCAACCCAGTAACACTTACCCAGTTTGTTCCTTCCAGCTGACAATAGAAAGAGGCGGCAGTATAGCCAGCAATACCAGATGTAAGTGCATATATGACAACCAGTGCAGTGAATAGAGCTCCCCGGTTGTAAGGATAAAAAACACCGACCAAAGCAAGGATGAAAATAAAAGTCGCACTGGAAAACAGGCAAATAGATAAACAAAATTATAGATTGTTCACATAAACAAAAAAGATCCAAAGAAATTTAGCTAAACCTCTTTTTGAGAAACAACTTCGAATGATTCTTACAGGGTAAACAACTGGGTGCCTGAACCAAGAGCTGCTGCAAACAGAGACTTGTGCTTTGGATACCTGAATACATCACCATGAATGTACTTCCACCCTGTCTCCTCCTGGTCTTCTGCTGACTCTTCATCATGTGCATACCTATTAAAGATAGACAAACAGGGTAGATAAAACCAAAACCAGGTAATTAATTTTATAGATCCCATAGATCAATAAGGCAAAAATAAGACTCACTTAACAAAATCATTCTTCAGGACTCGCATGAGAATGGTGGCAAGGAAACCAGTCAAGAGAAGAACTGTCACACATGAATTTACAATTGAAAACCAATGAATTTCCAAGTGATGTGGCAATGAAGAAGACTGAGAGTACTTCTTCATCCTATCATCAAATGAAGTCTCTGTTTCCTTCCATTTTACCGTGTACGTAAACTCCACCTTGATTTCTTCATCTTCTGTCACGTCTACCACAGCAGTTGGATCAGTTCGCACATTAATTTCAATTACACGATCCTTGTTGTATGAAACCTCAAAGATAAGGTGCTTAAAGAGGTAATATTTGTACTCGCTAGGGTCAGTTTTCCCTTCCTTATCAACTTTGCCTAAAAAACCCCATATGGGCAGGTCATCATAATACATTTGAAAGTAGTAATCCTTTGAGACTGCATCTCTGAACTTAGCAACTTCCTCCTTTTTCAACTTCTTTTTGCAAGCAATTTCCGAGTTCTTGTAAGTCAAGAAGTCAAGCTTATAGGGAGCACTGACCAGTCGATCCCCATTCAACAACTCACCAAGAGCTTCCTTCTTCTCTTTCACAGGACCTAAAGCATAAATTATCCGTTGAGTATTATTTCCTAGACTCGGTAGTGAGCACTTACATAAGTAAAAAGGAGATAGGGACAAACCTGAGGAGCAGAATGGGAAATCAAAATAGCGGTATGTCTCACTGTTAAGAAAACAAAGGTTAGCTCAATCAGCCTACAAAAAATAAAATTTTCAAAATTTCCAGCACCAAACTAAAATAATCAGGTCTCCAAAGTTTGCAAACAAATCCAACACTCGAATTTCAAATAGAGATAAAGTAAGAAAAAACAAGCTCGGGTAAAATTCTGAATCAAAATGAGAATGGGGAATGAGAATGGGGGATTCAAGAGCTGTACAAGAAACGTATCCCAACCACTGGATCCGGCAGAGGGAAACTGCGGAATTGAGCATTTCTTTATGCATTTTGTTCCTTCCATACAATCAAAATGAAAGTACATTTCAATTCATTGTAACTGACACAAATTGGCTTCATAGGTAAGCTCAGATCCAGTTCGATCCAAATCACAAATTTAGCTTCTCGGTATAAGAAACTGGAATTTCAACCTCGGCTAATTACAGTGAAACATAAACTAAAATCTGAATCTTCAAATTCACAGACCTGTATCCCAAAATTACAAAAACACACCCTAGAATTGATAGGACTGTACGTTTCATCATAAATTAAAATATTACCAACACTAAGCAACACATCCTCCATATTTGAAAAAAAAAAAAAAATTGAAACTAGAAAGAACGAGAAGGAGGAGGAGGAGGATGAGGAGAAGAAGAAGAATACCTTGGGTTATGGAAAGGACCTACTTTGTTAGCATAGAGAGGAACTTCATCGCGGTCCTTGTAGCGGTGATCGGAGGCACTGGATCTCACCTGTGTTACACCGGAGAGGGCCAGGATAGCCACTGCAACCACCCACGCCCTTATCTTCTCCATCGACAGTCGCCTGCAACTTGCGTCAGTCTCAGAGATGTTGAGATCGTCGACTTCTACTTTTTCTCTTTTTTTTTTTTCTTTTTGCCAAAGAGACCTTCGACTTCGAGTCTCAAGAAACGTGTAATCGGGAAACTTTATTCAGCAGTTCTCAATGAGACATTTTGCACTTTGCCCCTTGTGATTCGGATCGTGTTTTATGTCGTCCCTCAACTTTTAAAACATTGTATATGAGCCCATGTGATTTGAATCAATTATTTTTTTTCCTTATGTAGCTTAAAAGCAAGCAAAGTGTACTAATAATTACAACAATTAAGAATACAAAAAGTGTATTTTGGATCATACAACTTAAATGATCAAATAAATAATGAGTTTCTTATATTTATAAGTATTCTTTTATTTAATAAATCATATTTATATTTTAATATTGTTCAGATACAAAATAATAAACTCTACAAATACATAAACTAATAAAAGTTTGAAAAAACACATCAAATATCAAATATAACTTTTTTACTTTTGAATATAAGAGTAAAACTTGATCCTCACACTTTTTATATACATAAAAATAATCTTATCAAAACATGAGTAGCTTTTGAGGTGACTGAAGACTTCTTACCTATCAAATATGACTTTGAAATACGGATTAAATTTAAATGTCATTTTCTAGAACATAAACCTAAACATAAGTTATGTACGCCGCTAGTAATAAATTGGATTGCAACTGAGTGGCCAGTTATAGAATGGGGTCAGTCAACCCATTAGCGTTTTACAAAAGTCGATTTCGATTTCAATTTCAATATTTCATGTTTTCTAAAAATTATTAAACTGCTCCATTGAAAAAAAAAAATCATTGATATCATCCCTTATTTTTATTTTTTTTTAATTCCTTTAATTATTGTTTTAATTTTTATAATTAAATTTTTTTAAAAAGTTCATTATTTAATACACTTAAAAATATTTAAATCCAATGGCAACACTCCCATAAAAGTTATGGACCAGAAGGTGGTTTCATTTCACTTTGTGCGTCACCAAAGAGAAAAGGTTGATATCCTCCAAACATTAAATAAAAAAAAAAAAGAAGAAAAGAATCATAGCCATCCGATGAATAGCTTATGTTGTTTGTAGGAAGTAGGTATACCACAGCCACAACATGCAAAAGAAAAAGCAAAAAAGATCCTTTGATGATCCATTCAAGGTAATTTCCAGCGATGATATTATCAATCAAAAATGAAAATAGAGAGTAGATTCAAAGTAAATATAACAACAATACATTTTTTAGATGCCTTCAAGTTCCCTCTAATATCAAATTTGCCCAAATCAGCTAGAATATAATATATCTAGAACCTAATAGGATCCAGATTTGAGTGTCCAGTCGAGGCCACCGTGAATCTGGTCATCCTAGATGATTTCTCCAATCAAAGATAACTCACAGATGAATATCCCAGTACTGCAAATATCCCTGAAGGCAGTGATAAGACAGCATGGTGTTAATATGCTTCTTTGGTAAACAAAGAGAGTTTCATTATGAAATATGGTAAATACCACAATTAAATTGAACCTCATATGAGAACAAGAAGCAATACCTGTCAAAAAAGAATGGAAAATGATCCACTTCCTACTCGCACTTGATTGAGTGGTAAATGTGGCGGACAAAGAACAGAGCAGCGCGGAAACCAACAGTCCCAAGCATTAGGAAGAAACCATAGCAAATACAAGCCATGTAGCCAAAGAAGAATGAGGTTTGCATAAAACCAGACATATCTGATCTTGCATAGTAGTAATACAGGCAGTAGGCATAGATGAACAACCCAGTTGACCCACCACAAAGGAAGGACCTATTTTACATAGCAAATCATAGAAGTCAGCACACAAGCGATAAATAAGGCCTACAAAGTGGTTTATCTGAAGGGCCATTCAATTGCAAACTCATTTCCAATGAATCAAAATAAAAGTTCCAAATGATCCAAGCCCAAATCAGTAGAGGAATCTATACATTTATTTATGAGTAAACTCCAATAAAACATACCTCCACCACCACTCATGATCTTCAGCAGCTAGTTGAAAATAAGTCAAAGCCACTGTGATAAAAGCCGTAACAATCAAGAGAATGATGAACACAATAAACAGGATGCTGTATATGGTGTAGATCCTGTGACCCCAGACACTAGCAAATATGTAGTACAGTTCAATATAGATGGCACTAAATGGCAAGAACCCTGCCATGGCCATCTGAGGAAGAGTTTTCCTGTACCAAGGCAATGGTGGAATCTCTCTAGGATATTTTGTGGTGCGACAAGGAGCCTGAAACTCAGCCTTACTATTCTTCCCTGCAACTCCACCCAGTACTAACAAAGGAGATGTTACGAGTGCCCATATAAGGAAAATCACCATAATTGTTCCAAATGGCAAGGCTGCAGTGGCATTGTAAGTGATTGCAACAGTATTAAGAAAGCAGAATGTGAGGAAAAGAGGTCCACAAAACAGGCTTCCAGTCAACAATAAGTTTCTCACCTATAATGACAAAAAGAGGAAATAATTAAACTCGAGTATATCTTAAAAGTTCAGGTTCTGAAAAAACAAATAATTAGAATACTATTGAGTTGAAACTCCAGCGTCCTTTCTGGAATAAGGGTTCAGCAGACAGGAACAAAGATGAAAATAGATTATCAAATGGTTTTTAGGTGTTATTTTATTATAGACCTAGCTGGTTACTTACTTTTTATGAAGTAGATTCCCAATATCTTTAGAATGCTAATCCCAACTTGTTCTTAATAATAAAAGAGATATAAGTTTATGAAATTTTACGGCAATTATTTATACAGAGGATAATGGAAAGACAGCCCTGTAACATACCCAGTTTGTTCCTTCCAGCTGGCAATAGAAAGAGGCAGCAGTATAGCCAGCAATACCAGAAGTAAGTGCATATATGACAACCAGTGCAGTGAATAGTGCTCCCCGGTTGTAAGGATAAAACACACCAACCAAAGAAAGGATGAAAATAAAAATTGCACTGGAAAAACATGCAAATAGATAAAAAAAAAAAAAAAAAAAGTTACCTGATTAGTCAACAACAGGACAGAGAAGACATGAAATTTAGCTAAAGCTCTTTTTTAAGAAATTGATTTCAATGATACTTACAGTGTAAATAGCTGGGTGCCAGAACCAAGTGCTGCTGAGAACAAAGATTTATACTTTGGATACCTGAATACATCACCATGAATGTACTTCCACCCAGTCTCCTCCTGGTCATCAGCTGATTCCTCATCATGAGCATACCTATTAATGATAGAGAGGGATATAGCATCAAAAATAAGAGCAGAACTAATTTCACAGATTCCATACAGCACTTAGTCAGAAATATTACATACTTGACAAAATCATTCTTTAAGACACGCATGAGAATCGTGGCAAGGAAACCAGTCAAGAGAAGGACGGTCACACAAGAATTTATAATTGAGAACCAATGAATTTCCAAATGATGTGGCAGTGAAGAAGATTGCGAGTACTTCTTCATCCTATCGTCAAATGAAGTATCTGTTTCCTTCCATTTAACTGAGCATATAAAGTCCACATTAACTTCTTCATCTTGCGTTATGTCTACAACAGCAGTTGGATCAGATCGTGCAATGATTTCAATAACGCGATCCTTATTGTATGATATCTCAAATATGAGGTGCTTAAAGAGGTAGTATTTGTAGTCGCTAGGATCAGCCTTGCCCTCCTTGTCAACTCTCCCAAAGAAACCCCATATGGGCAGGTCATCATAATACATTTGAAAGTAATAGTCCTTTGAAACTGCATCTCTGAACTTAGCCACTTCTTCCTTCGTGAGCCTCTTTTTGCAAGCAATTTCAGAGTCTTTATCTGCCAAAAAGTCAAGTTTGTAGGGGGCACTGACTAATCTATCCCCATTCAACAATTCACCAAGAGCTTCCTTCTTCTCTTTCACAGGACCTACAGCAAACATTGCCCCAGTGAGTGTTCATTCCTACACTAGATAGTGAGCACTTAGATAAGGAAAAATGTGAGTAGAAACAAACCTGCTGAGCAGAACGGGAAATCAAAATACCGATATGTCTCACTGTTAAGAAAAGAAAGATGGAGGTAATCAGCGATAACAACTAAAATTTTCAAAATTTCCAATAGCGAACCAAAATAATCAGGTAATCAGGTTATCGGATGAAACCCAATAACATTCTAGTAACTCATAGACAAACACTATGACATCAAGTAAAATCTTGAAATCATAGGACGAACTGGACTCAAGATCAGTACGAGGAACGAGGAAGCAGCCAGACCAGATGTGCCAAACTAAATCATGCATCTTTATACATTTTACCTCCCAACAATAAAGAATTGATTTCTAGGAGAATAATATTGACAAGATGCAATCACCCTTTTTCTTAAGCAAGAAATTGAGTACACTCTAGTTCAGCACAACCGCAACAAGTTAGCTAGCCCTGAAATAAGCTTAGATCCAATTCGATCCAGCTTCAAACTAGTTTCCGAGAACCCTCAGACTAGAATTTCAACTTCAAATCCACATAAGAAGAGAGCCAATACTTGATCAAAATGGAAACCCTAGAATTTACACAGCAGTGGTGAACTGCATACCTGGGATTGTGAAATGGCCCTACTTTATTGGCATAGAGAGGAACTTCATCTCCGGCTTTATACCGGTGGTCGGAGGCACCGGATCTGATCTGAGGAAGGGAGCAAAGGGCGAGAAGAATCACCGCCAATAGCCACGGCGCAATCTTCTCCATTTCAACTTCAGCTGGAAGAGGAAAGATTCAGATCTACGAATTGGAGTCTATAAAATGTGTTAAAATGGAGTTTAAATTAGCAATAGAATACTGGTAGTGTGTAATCAAAGTAAGTATGCTTGAATTTCAAGGATAACGACCGACTAACTTGCGGTCGTTTTGATTTCCGGCCATTTTTATATATAAGAAAAAAATTAAAATGTAAATGAACTAAGAAATTTTTGAATCCGTCTCAGTTTATCTTGATCCTAAAATGAGGACTGCTCGATAAAATTTTCCTTTTATTTTAGTTGTACAAGAAAATCATGTTTTATCTCTTATTTTGCTCAACCCACTTGTAATTTAAATTTAAAATATTTTATTTTTTAAAAAAAAAGGAAGACTACAAATTACTTAATTTGTTGGTAAGATTGCTCCAATTGAATGGACAACATTATTAAGAAACGCACCCCATTTTAATGCTAAAGGTGATAGGTTGCATGCTAAATTTAAGACAATTATGGTGTATTATTAAATAAATATAATTATATTATATTTTTTTATGAAAATATAATTATATTATTTTATATATATATAAAATAAGGATTAATTAGTGTACACCAGTTTTAATTTTAAAAATAATTAAAATTTTAATTTATATTTGAAAATTAAAATATTATCTTATTAAATATTAATATATAAATTTAAAAATTAAAAAATAATTGAAATTTT